CTCTTTCTTCTTTTTTTCAGCATGGAATAAACCTATTACTTGTTCCTTTGCAGCCTACGCATGCTGACGCAGCTACCCACCTGAACTACATAATATTTATTATATGTGTATGTGAGTGTGTGACACGTGTGCTGGTTGGTCATTGTTGGTCATTGAGAATTTCTGGGGTTCCTATGAGAAGATGACTTGTATGTGGTACTTGGTTGCTTTGGTTTGATCAGAGGTGGTACTTGGTCCAAAAAGTTTGAGAACGACTGGTCTACATAAATGATCTACATCTGTGCAACAGGAATTGTTTACCATGAAGCATACCCCACTACCTTTGCTCTTACCCAAATCTGTTGTTCTGTCCTGAGGGTGAATAGAAACTCCTCCCAGAAGGATACCAGAGTCCGGAACAGATGGGTCAAGCCAGGTTTTTGTTAGTGCCAGCACATTGCAGTTTTTGATGTCCCACTGAAAAGAAAGCCTTGCTCTCAGTTCATCTAGCTTATTTTTTGGTGACTGAACATTAGCAAGAAGTATACTCGGGAGCAGGGCACGATTGCTGCGCTGCCTCAATATTACCAGAACACCTGCCCGTTTACCCCTCTTCCTATGATGCAGTCTTCTTCCAAGTACAGGTACAGGTGAGACACCACAGTCAAGATAGTCGCATTAATCATTGGTGTAAGTTTAACTGTGCCAATATTTGACCTTATATCCATAAGTAATTGTTGGTCATATCTAATCACCAAGCAAACAATATGTGCAGTAAGCAGTACAAAAAACAACAAAAAATAAAGAAATAAACAAGAACGGATGGGAGTTCGCAGGAAGGCAGTCGTCCCTGTCAGTGCCATCTAGTGGACAAAAATATACAGCATGTATTCTCTTCCAATATCTGAAATCAGAAAAATACTTCGGTTCGGATGAGGGCCCTGTCACTAATATGGGTGGGGTATCCTCTGTTTATGAAAAAGGAATGTATTTTGAGTGCTTGGTTCTGGAAATCCATGTCATCACTGCTGAGTTGTCGTAGCTGAAGGAACTGTGAAAAAGGAAGAGAGTTTTTAGTGTGTTTGGGGTGAAATGAGCTGTACAGGATACAGGAGATAGCTGTGTGAATCCATGGGTTTGTAATAGACTGAAATAGAGAGTCGGGGATGGTTAATGGATAGGTTTATGTCTAGAAACGGAAGAGTAGTGGAAGATATATTAACTTTATATTTGAGGGATGGGTGGAAGTTGGTGAAGTGATGCATGAAGTCCTCTAACTGGTCATTAGAGAATGTGGCAACACCAATGCAGTCATCGATGTATCGCTTGTAGAGGTCAGGGACAAAGCCAGTGTAAGAAGTGAAGAAGCATTCTTCTACCCAACCAACAAAAGTATTAGCATATAGCTGGGTCCCATTTAACCTGCTGGTAAAAAAGGTTATTGAATGAGAAGGCATTGAGTATCAGTACCAATTCTGCAAGACGTACAAGGGTCTGGGTGGGTGTATCAAGCATGTGCTTGAGTGCTGTAAGACTGTCATTGTGGGGAATGACAGTTTAGAGAGATGTGATATCCATTGTGAAAATGTAGCATTCTGGACCCAGAAACTGGAAATTGTTAAAAAGTTCGGCATGGTTAGTGTCCTTGATATATGAAGGGAGCCTTTCAACCAGGGGTCTCATCAGGCTGTCGAGAAAGGCCGAGATGTGAGTAGTTTTGTGAGGCGTCCAGAGGTGTCGCTTTGTGAAATTTGGGGAGGAGGTAAAATTGGGATACCTGGGATGTTCAACAGTGAGCCAGTTCGCCTCCTGGGGGAGTTTCTTGCTGCTGATCAGATGACTTCCATTTTACTGTATCATCGATGACTTCCATTTCTTTGGTGCTTCCCTTCCACCCTAACACACTTTCTATCCCCAGGACCATTAACAACACTTTTTCCATTTGTTGGGAAAGCAGACATCACTTGTGTTGGTTTTATTAACAGAAAGCTGCAGCTTTTTCTTCATAGCAGTGATCTCATCAGACGTGTCAAAAATTGTTAAAGAGAGCCCCAGCAGTCCCATATTCAGCTCATTCAAACGTGAGAATCACGTTTCAGCCAGGTAGGTGTAGCGGCAATGCTTATTAATAATACAGGAATTAAGTTTGCTGCTCCCTTGCCAGTCTCTCTCTCCCTCATCTCAGTGGTGCTGGACACAGAGAGGCCATTTCATATGGTTTGGATTTAAGGTGTTTTTCGTTCTGATAGAGTTTCCTGATAAGAAACAAAATGTGATTCTGGGGACCTGATCTTAAAGAGGGGAATTACGTTTGACAAAGAAGGTCAGTGAGGTAGACAGGACCATTTCCTTTTAGAGACATAAAAACCAGGTGCAAAACTTTAAAATCCACTCTCTGGTGAATGTGGAGCC